ACTTGTAAAAGCCAGAGAGCTTAAATAGATAATCTCCTAGTTAGATTGCAGGTATGGTGGCTAGTGTAGAACTCAGGCAGACTACTTAAATAGACAACCAAAAGTTGTATGTGTGGCTAGTTGTACCCTCATTATAATTGTAAACATTGTTAATTATTTAATAAAAAGCCCTCAGCTATAAAGATTACCTTAATATTAAAATGATTTTTTATTTTATAAGTATATTTAGTAGTTAGAAAGAATGATCCTTTGGGTAATACTATAAAAAAAGGCATCTCAGCCACAGCTTCGATACTTTTTTTATTTACTCAAACGATCATTCTTTTGATAATACAAATTAATTTTTGGCTTGTTGTAATGCTTCTAAAAATGCATTAAATAAATTATTACAATGCTCATTACACCAGCAATACTCTAATAAATAATCTTCAATTACATGCTTGTTTCTGTTGTGTTCGGATATCTGCATTTTAAGCCCACTCCAAATTCCCTCAATTGTATTACTATGAATATTCATTTTTCTGTTTTTGATATTTACTTTTGAATGATTTTCTCGCTTATACTTCATGCCAAGTGATTCTAAGTTTGAGTAGCCCTTCTATAAATCACTATGAATTGTTAAGCCTGGTTTGATATATTTTTTAATTATTCTTTTTATTGTTTCAGCATCACGATTTTCTGATATAACAAAAAAACATTTTTTTTCTTTTGTACGTTCAATAGCACCAATTATCCAAAAATTTTCTAGCTTCTGAAACTTTGATTCATCAATTTCTACAATAGTTTTGGGCCCACTAATAGTTAAGTCATCTTCTGTTAATGTATTAATAATCAAGTTTCTAAATTTATTTGTATATTTGACAATCGTGTTTGATGATTGCTTGGTTATATAACTAATTGAAGTATATTTAATTTTTGATAACCACAAGTATCCTATAAACATAACAGTCGCACGATTTGTCACATCACAATTTTTATCATATGATTTTTATAAATTACACAAATCAACAAATTCACACTTTTGAAATTTTTTTTAAACCTGTAGTTAAAATATGTAAAATACTTTTAAAAAAGTTTATTACTGAAGTTTTTACGAATCGAATGCTATAAAAAATACAACGTATAAATTTCTCTATATAGAATATAATACCTTCGAAAGTAGGTAATTATTTTATATACTTTCAGAAGATTCTTTTCAAGCTTGCAACTTTTTAACAGAATTAATG